TATATATATATATATATATATATATATATGTAAACAAAATTAATTTCATTTATGAAATTATAAATCAACTAAATCATGAATCAATTTTGAATTTATATCTAAATAAATGTTTTATTCATAAAACGTTTTATAAGCTTTCACCTAATTTTCTGCCATCTTATGGGCGAGTATTACACAAAAAAAAAAGACTTAACATCACAAGGAAGAATTTCCTCGTACAAAAGTAAAATTCGATTACAATTGACTGGAATTCATCGTTTTTAGAAAATTCTTCAATAAATAAGCGAGAAGAAAATTAAAGCGCGAGGCATTTTTGAAGAAAAAGTCTGCATTGCCTAAGTGATCGAAGGGTTTTGTAGAGCACTACTATATCCGAGACGGGTAAACATACGTAACATGTGTAGTAGTGTGAGTAGTAGCACGGTTACGAAAGAAGACAAGTGAAGAACTTTCGTTGCACGAAACCAAAGCGACTCTCTACGTGCAATATAGGCAGAGACTCGGTTCGGTTGCTGTTGCCTGGCTAGATAGGAATCAAGAGAGGCTACACCACTGTAACTTAAATAAACACTGGGAGAGGAACAAGCGCGGCACACACAGCAGCAGCCAGCAGCAGCTTCGAGTTTAGTTAATTCGGGTCATCGTCCTTCGTAACTCGTCGCGCATATTTAATTTTCCACGTAAAGCGTCCTGTGGACGAACGCATCACGCGGATGTCGCTTTCAAAGCGAATTGTGCACCTTAATATGCACTTTGTGTGCAGACGTGCCACACACCAAATGGTTCTCGGTCTATTAAATTCGAAAGGCACTCGATCGACTCGAGAAACACGTAGTCAAATTACGGTCGATATAAATACAAGAAAAACGGTGGTACGCACACCACTTCTTTTTGCAGATATATATTTTGTTTGACAGCAAGAGTCAACTTCCTTCGTGTCGTTCGATTTCAAGAAGTCCCACGCGGCTAGGAAAATTCCAACTTTCCGAGAAAACGTAGAAAAAAAAGTTTGTTTGAATTTTGAATGTCATTGAAAAAGGCGTTGAAACAACTTTCGTTCCGCGACACAAATAGTACAGCTTTAGGGTTAATTTTTGCAAATATTTCAAACAATGTTTTTTTTTTTTTTTTTGACGACTTGGTTGAACATTTGCGGTAAAAAAAAAAAAAAAAA